ACCAATTGAATAATGACATTCATTTCCAAAACTTACTGCTTATTAGTTCAAACTATTTGTTCCATGATGTTGATTGTAGTTACATTATATCGAAACTAATTTAACATTTCTGCTAATCTTCTATCGAATAAGATGCAAATTATTGAAAGTACACAAGAGTAAATTTTGTTTAATTCTGATATCGTGTCGCTATTTATGACTTCATGAATAATCTAGTAATAGGAAATTCAAGTAGCAGTGATATTATTCATCTGTTACGTGATAGCTGATTGAATGAGAACAGAGAGTGGCCTTAGTAACAGTGTATTCTGAGAAAAATAATCACCATGTCAAACAAACAATGCACCTTGAATTTCAAGGTTCAACCTAAACAGAAGTTTATTATAGTCCCATTTGTATCGTTCTAAATGGTAATCTTTAATCTAAAAATTTCAGGAATAAATGTCTGTTTGAACATGAGGAGCTGGTATTATCATAGAATGGCTTGTAAGCTCTTTATTTCAGAGGGTTATTTATCATTAAATATTTAACATTATAAAAATATGAACAACTCACTTTATTTCTGTATAATTTTCAACTTCATCTCCTTGAAGATGTCACAGGTATTTAGAGTTTGACAGCGCTTTAACTAGTAACACCTTTTAATATGAATCGTACCCACCACGTGAAATCAAAAGATAGAAGCGAGGAGGTTCAAAGACATATTTCATAGGTGATCAATATATCGAGGATCGATTGATCTAGGCTGTCTAGCGATTGTAGGGGATGTTGAGCACGGCGTTCCCACTCGTGATCTGGTGCGGATGCATGAATTAGCACCTTCAGCTAGGTAAGTCCATTAAAACTAATGTGGTCAGCATCCAATGTAGTAGACTTACAGAGCTATAGATTTTGGGAATTTATTTACTGCTACACTGTAATATTTCAGTAGTAAAATTTCTCATAACGTTTAAAATGGAGGTGATATTGTATAGAAGTTGATGAAAACAAGTATCAGCATGGTATAATAAAAATGTAAACAAAATTAGACATAAATTCATTTTTGTATTGTTTGTTTGAATCACTCTATTGATGTTTAAGACTACAATTGATCAATCTCTCTTATTGACATATGTGTATACTGTGAAGGTTGCCTTGATATTGCCTTAATTCAAAAGCATTAGAAGCAAAGATGGATAGTGGCTAGCAGTGAAATTCAGGACGCGCGTTTCGTCCCATTTGGGACTCGTCAGCTGGTTGTACCTGCATCTCAGAGAGTTGATGTTCACTCTGTGACTCGAACCCAGTACAATTCGCTTCAAACGCCATCGCGTTATCCACTTAGCTACTGAGTCTTGATAGCCACTTGCTAGTGCAATGGAGTGAAGTTAAAAATCACTTGGTATTGTTTATTTGAATCATCCCATTGATGTTTAACACTGCAATTGATCAGTCGCTCTCATTGACATATGCGCATACTGTGTGGATTGCCTTGATATTGCCTTAAGTCACATTCATTCTAAGCAAAGATGGATAGATGAAACACGTATCCTGGATTCCACTTCTAGCTACCACCCATGTTTGTTTAAAATTAGAAATATTCAATAAAAGTTTGCGATAAAAGTTCCTGGCAGATCCATTAAAGCGGTATTAAAAAAAAACAAGGTTAACATTAAATGGTTATGTGACGAAATAGTTGGCAATAAAGTTAATCAGTTAAAAATATAATAACACACTAGAAATGAACAGTGTAATCTAATAAGTAAATGAAAATGTTGAAGCGACATATAGGAAAAGTTACCAATGAAAGGAAAGACTAAGAGCTGTTTGTTTCTAACTAGGTAAATCAGTTTAACGAGGATTTTAAAGTGATTTCAAAGTATCCAATTGATGTTCTACATTATTTAGTTGCTTAGATATTCTATAATTAACAGTAATTACTCCTTTTAAGTAAAAATATTTTTGAATCTTGTTGTAGGATCTAAAATAGCACCTTTTTCCTATTCTTTTTAGATTAATAAACAGAACTATATATATGATACTTCAGCAAAATGGTTTCCTATACAATTGTAGTGATTTAGTTTTATGAAGAGAACTGTTAGGACCCGAGTTATACACAGTAGATTAATTATTGCTTGATATGATGGAAAGAAAAGTCCATTTTCGATTGAATTACTCATTATGAGTTCTGGTTCAATATTCAAAGTGAGGATCATTCAGTGTTGTATTTGATTTGTTTTCCCAGTATGATATTTTCTTCTGTATAATATACGATATTCTTATATACAGTTGATATGAACTATGCTCAGTCTGTGATTTCTTATAACTGAGTACGTGATCTAATCCTAATTATTAATCAAAATCGGTGTACAATCAATATATAAACCAGTGTATTTCAGACTATTTTGATTCGTCGTTGTCATAGTGTTTGGGGCTAATAAATCTTCACATATATTAGTCTTGTGTTCTTACTTTCGTATCGTGGGAATTGCCAAGGTCCCTCGTTTCGAGTATAAGTGATCAGCGCTTTTGTTTTTCCGTCACAACAAGAACGCAATTGGTGTAATGGAAACATTTATTATTATAACCAACTGTACCAGTGATTGTTTTACTGTACCTTTTGTTTAATTGTATCAAAAATATACTTTTTCCATTATTTATGACCTTCAACTTACTCACGTACACACGGTAGTTTCGCCTGTAAACTTTGGCACGATTTCGATATTATTTTGATACCACGAAATCATTAATAAATACATCCTAACTACAATCTACAACTGTCCTTTTAATATTTATCCTATGGAGGGACTTAACCTGGTAATAGACATGTAATCGATCTGTAGTGGTGATCATAGTCAACTGCGACTTGACACAACCACATAACTAATTTATTTACATTGAACATGTTCATTTTTATTGACTTCTATTTTATATTAATGATAATCTAAACATCACCATTACTATAACACCTTTACTATAACATAAATATCCTATTCCCTAAGCATCTAACCATAATCAAAGATCAGATGAGTGATCATATGTTGTTTGGTTTTTTAAGAATTTGATTTGTACTTCATATAATTTCACAATTCAAACAAAAGATCATCAACAAATAATGATAAATTTGAATTAGTACATTACAAAACGAATTAACATCTTTTTAAATAACTAACAATCATTGAATATGAAGAAAAGAAAGACAATAGAAATACTTAATTGATATGTTAGATTAAGAAGATTTAATTGAGAAGTTGAAAATGATCTTATAAGTTTGAGGCTAATATTTCAATTGATAAAGAGAAATATCAGAAAGGTTTTGTGGAGACTGTAGTATTTTCAATAGTTGAAATCATGAGTCAATTGAAGCTAGACTACCATGAAAAACCTGGAAGAAGTGGACGACCGTTTCGTCCTATCGTGGGACTCCTCAACAGTGTGCATCCACGATTCAGCCTCGTGGGATTCGAGCCCAGAACCTGTCAGTCTCGCATGCGAGTGCTTAACCACTAGACCAATGAGCCTGTATCCAGTAGTGTTAATGTCTAACTTTAACTAATCCACGTAATTGAGCGACACATCTACCATTGCAATTAGTGCGTTACTAACTCACAACTGACGCGGTTGAACTCCACTGGTCATTGCTTCCCACTAGAACTCCAGGATATGCCTGTTGAAGCCAGTCACTAGTGAGCATATGTTGATTAGCATTAGAAGGGTTTTGTGGAGTTAGACGTTAACACCGTTGGATGCCGACTCAGTGGTCTAGTTGCTTAAGCGTCTGACGCGGGGCTAGAAGGTCTTGGGTTCGGATCCCGTAAGGCGGGGTCGTGGATGCGCATTGCTGGGGAGTCCCACAATAGGACGAAACGGCCATCCAACGCTTACAGTTTTCCCATGGTAGTCTAGCTTCAATTGACTCATGATCTCAACTTTGAAAATTGTGTAACTGTTTAGCTGACATATACTCTAGCAAACACCACTAAAATCATTAGATTTTTAGCCTGACCCACCCTAACCAATTAGTAAAGCTCTCTTGCTAATATGTACAGTCTAAAAAAACGACTGGACATTCTCCAAAGGAACAGTATTTAGATGGGCAATAAGAGAAAGGGTAAAGTAGACAAAACGAGATTGAACTGTACAACAAGCTACTTATTTATATTTAATTCTTTATATTTGTCTGAGAAAGTCAATAACTCAATGACTGAATAATTTGACTAAGGTTTAGTGTTCGTTTCTCTTCACTACTCTTATAGTTCTAGTATTTTGTGATAAAGTAACTTAAACAGATGAGATCATGAGTCAATTGAAGCTAGACCACCATGGAAAAGTACTGGATGGCCCTTTCGTCCTATTGTAGGACTCCTCAGCAGTACGCATCCATGATCTCAACTATTAAAATTACTACAATCTCCACAAAATCCCTTTTGATAAAGTAACTATTCAATAGAAAGAAGAAAAAAAATCATCAAAGTTCAAAATTACTCAAAATTGTACTTTTTTTTCAACTGTACTTTAAATCATTCATTTGATGTAAAATTATATAAGTCATGATACAAAATAGATATCCATATCAAAACGATACACATAGGTGTGTGTATGTGTGTGTGTATGTGTATCATTTCACTTCTTTTTTTATTAAATATCAACCAATGACAAGCATTGGAAGGAAAAAAAAGGAATATGAATTCATAAAACCCTACTAGATTATTTCTTTCTCCTGGATACTACTACTACTATTTAAAACAAACACAACAAGCATATTGAAACATTGAACAGAATAGTCAACTCTTTGAAACATTAAACAGAATAGTCAACTCTTTGAAACATTGAACGAAATAGTCAACTCTTTGAAACATTAAACAGAATAGTCAACTCTTTGAAACATTGAACAGACTACTCAACACTTTGAAACATTGAACAGACTACTCAACACTTTGAAACATTGAACAGACTATTCAACACTTTAAAACATTGAGTTCATTCAAACAAGAAACCTAATCGTAAAAATAAAAGGAAAAATGGTTTGTTGTAAAAAACAAAATAAACTAAATGATAATTATCTTAATAAAATTCATTCTCATATTGATTTAAAACAATTAGAATTATTAGAACGTCAATTTATATTAGATTGTATTGCTGTTAGAAAAATATGTGATGATTATTCTAAAGCAAATCCAAAACATGGATCTATTATACCACCATATAATGGACAATTAGATCCATATGCTAAATCATATTTTGAATCATTAAATATACAAAAATTATTAGAAAAAACTGGTCAGGTTAGTTTTATTTTATTAATGAATAGATATATAGATATATCATTTATTTTGTTTTTTGTTGAAGAAATAGATAGATTGTAGTGAGTGGCTGAATCTAGGAATAACTCTTCTACATAACTCCAAATGCCTTGGTATGGCTAAGAGTGGAGAGATTCCGCCCACCCTCTCGAAATGCTCTCACATGACCACGTGTATATAGCCTCTGCCACACAAGTCCTACTCATTGCATTCTCACACCAAAGGTGTTGTTTACGAAATTCAGAGGACCAAAAGCGAATGTCCAACGCTTTAACCGGATTAGTGGACATGGAGAGTCCACCTAGGGGATTTGGAAAATACTGATTCCAAACCAATGGTGCACATGGGCCCTAGTATCCTGAGGGGGGAAATGGCGTATGAACCATTCGTTGGTCACCGGGTACCATGGGACTGCATCTCCTGACGTTGCTCCATTGCCTTGTGGATCAGACCTTCAGATAGTAGGCTCTGGGTGTGGCCCCCTAAGAAAACCACTTGCTTCGGTTTGGGCAACCAGACAGTATCACAGCCCTCACACATATCAAATGAAATCTGTGTGGCGCATATGTATTTGGTGCCTCCTTGTACCAATATCTATGTGATAAATTAAAAATATTTAAGGGAGCACCAGATACATATATGCGCCACACAAATCTCATTTGATTTGTTTGAAGGCCGCGATATTGTCTAGGTGCCTAAAGTGAAGCAGATGGTTTTCAAAAGGGGACATAATCGGAGCCTATGATCTAAAGGTCTTATACACAACACAGTGGAGCAACATCAGGAAATGCAGTCCCATGGTATCCGGTGACAAACAATTGGTTCATACGCCATTTTTTCCTTCAGGATACTGAGGCTCATATGCACCATTGGTTTGGAATCAGGGTTTTCTTACTCCCCTAGGTCGATTCTGTAAATTCACTGACCCGTATATGCACCGGACATTCGTTTTTCGTCCTCTCGATTTCGTAAACAACATCCTCTGTTTCGAGAAGCCAATGATTATGACTTCCTTATCAGTGATTGTATATGCGTGATCTTGTGAGAGCATTTTGTGAGGCAGAGTGAACTTTTCTCACCCTCATCCGTACCAGGGCATTTGGGGTCAGTGAACTTGTAATTCAATATTGAACGAACATGTTTCAACATTAAAGTTCTTTTCTTTAGAAAAAAAATAGGTCATACATTAAACTCTTAATTAAATTTACTAAGAATAAATATCTAGAGGGTTTTTTACTTTAAATATTGATTTGTCATGAGCATAAAACATCTTAGTTTTGAATCGAAGTCATTTACATGAACATATGAATTATATTGTGTTGTGAGCTACTTATATACACATAAGTAGTATATAAAGATAGTCAGGGATAGAATGTATTTCAGTAGAAGATCAAGAAGGAAAGAACAGGAATGGAAAGCAATTGGTATGAAAATGCATGAACAATGAAATCTGAGTCGATGGACTGATATTTGCAAAATGAACAGTCAAGTTCGAGACAATGGATTAATATTTGGCAAATTAACTATTTACTGTATGGTTCTCAGATCTTAGTGAGATACTCTGTAATTTTGTGTCAAATACATTCGATTGTCCCCACTCGTGTTCTTGTTCATTACAATACTACTGAAGAAAATCATAGTAATTTTCATTAGCAATAACAGTTTGAATATTTTACTGGAAAGATGGTAATGACATAACCAGTTATCATAACTGTTTTCCTTCCATTTGGAAATTGAGCTGATAATATGGATGCATAACGATGTAAACTACTTGGTTAGATTCTTAGCTATGATCACGATTAGCGATTGAAAACGTTGAACGACAGGATTCAGAACAGGTTACAATTATACAGATGCTTTCATTTTTTTAATCTCCTTCTTGAGTATCATTATTTCTTCGAATATACGATTGAATTCTATGTATATACTGATATTGAATGCTACGATAGTTACATTGTGTGAGAAATTTTTTTAAGAAAAAAATCATCCAATAATGAATTGGGTAATGTGATGATTAGGAGTATTTGAATTATAGTACAAACTAGGAATCCTAGAAATAACACAATTGAATCAAGAAGTACTAGATAACCACAAACGAATGTACTGTATTTGGAATTCAAAATCAAGCATTCGACAAGTACAAAAGAATCATTAATTCATTCAAACACCACATCCATCACAGCCTAAATTGAAGTTTAAGTGTCTTCTTAAGTTCATCCTGTATCTATCCAACAGTGTATTGAATGTAGACTCTATATGATCTACAGTATGCTCATTAGTATTGGAATTAACAACCGAAATCGGAGCACATTCACCTGCTTCCTAGGATTGTATACAATCACCATGTCAATTTTATGTCGAAACCATTATCTACAATTCAAAGCACATATTTCTCAGCAATATCCTCCCCCACGAAATAATATTGGGTCTTTATATCCCCACGTTATGAATGATGTGGCTTCATTGAAAACATATTTCTCACATTGACTAGAGTATATATTAGAAGTGATTTCATGATAAGGACAAACAACAATTGACATGAAATCATCCGAATTGTAATCAATATCGAACTCATTTAGTCACTCGTGTTTCACATTGAACAACTTTCCTACAAGAAACAAATGCATTATGAGGAAATCGAGATTTGATTCTTCTGAATTAGTTTCCTCAAATTTATTAAGAATATCATTGAAGAGTGATGGATCATTAGAATAATCAACATCTATCAAGACTACATCAGGTTTTCGATCATAATTATGTTCACTCAACATATTTTCTTTAGGTTTGCAAGGAATTTCATCAGAAATATGTGAATCATTAGGAAAAACCATATCTGGTACAATAACATGAGAATTCTGACAAATTGATTGATTAGAAACTATTGTCTCGCAAGAATTCGGAGTTTCATTTAACTCTGGACTGCTATAGGACTCTATACCGCTTTTCAAAGTAGTGGATAAAGATAAATGATTGTTAGAAACATCAAACTTAATAGGATCACAATTATAATTTTTAGTATTATTTGCAGTGGAATGAACCGTAGTATAACAAACTGATTGAATGTATCCAATTTCATCATATTTAAAACATTTAGCATTACGAAATGCACATGAATTACGAGAATGAAATTTACCACAAGATAAACATTGACCAAACTTGATCTCATCTTCATGAACTGTATCTAATATTCTCAATGAATGATCAACACAATGTTGAGTACGCATTGGATTGGGATAACATAGTAATTTGGCGGAATTTTCGATGTCCTGATGAGAAATTTTATGAAATCCTCCATCTTTACCACATTCAAAATTTGTAAACTTAACATAGTCTAGCAGTAGTTCCTTGAGAGTTGCATAAGTAAGCGAAACATACTTTTCTCATAAATCCAGAATTTTTAATAAGCTATATGCTTCTTTTCCGATGAATGTAAGGAAATGTGCCACAATATTAACATCCTCAAAATCTTCCTTAGTCATAACCCAAATTTCGAACCTTTCAAAGTAATCCTCAAAAGCATCAAAATCTGAATGTATATCCAACTATTCCATCACAAGCTCCATCATTACACTAATGTGATGATTAGGAGTATTTGAATTATAATACAAACTAGGATTCCTAGAAGCATCATCGATGAACAAGGACGTTTAGATACAGACGTAAAGGCAAGGATTGGCAAAGCAAGGACAGCATTCCTGCAGTTAAAGAACATATGGAACTCAAAACAGCTTTCGACCAATATCAAAGTGAGAATCTTCAATACCAACGTCAAGGCAGTTCTACTGTATGGAGCTGAGACTTGGAGAACTACAACAACCACCATCAAGAAGGTATAAGTATTTATAAATAGCTGTCTACGCAAGATACTCAACATCCATTGGCCGGATACCATCAGCAATAGTCTTCTGTGGGAGAGAACAAACCAACTTCCAGCTGAAGAAGAAATTGGGAAAAGACGATGGAAATGGATAGGACATACATTACACAAATCGTCAAACTGCATCACGAGGCAAGCGCTAACTTGGAATCCTGAAGGGAAGCGGAAAAGAGGAAGGCCAAAGAACACATTACGTTGGATAATAGAAGCAGATATGAAAATGATGAATGTCAACCGGAAGGAGCCGGAAAGGATTTCCCAGGACAGGGTTGAATGGAGAATGCTGGTGAGCGGCCTATGCTCCTTCACGAGGAGTAACAGGCGTAAGTAAGTAAATAGGATTCTTAGAAATAACACAATTGAATCAAGAAGTACTAGATAACCACAAACGAATGTACTATAGTTGGAAATTCATAATCAACCATTCAACAAATACAAACGAATCGTTAGTTTATACAATTACTACAGGTAACCCTCTAAAAAACACAAAAATTTACAAATAGGTGTGTGTTTTATAAACAATCTAACAATTCACTATTGAACATTTTAAATTAAAGTACAATATTGTTCATATGAATTTATTTCAAATGTTTGTTTCTCCATTAAAGATGTTACATCTTTTAAAAACTAATTATAAGCTTCTTTTTTTTTAATTATGTAAAATCTAATTTATATTTTCTCATAACCCTTAGTAACAGAAATTACCTTTCATTTTCATTTTCATTATAGATTCTATTTTTCCTAATGATCAATATATATTTGTATATTTCAATGGTTAAGATTATGAGTCAATTGAAGCTAGACTAACATGGAAAACCTGGAAGGACTGGATGGCCATTTCGTCTTACTGTGGGACTCCTCAGCAGTGAGCATCCATGACCTCACCCCCCTGGTCTAGCTTCAACTGACTCATGATCTTAACCATTGAAATTACTATAATATCCACAAAACCCATCTGATATTCATCAATATATGCTCACTAGTGACTGGCTTCAAGAGGTATATCCTGGAGTTCTAATGAGAAGTAGTGACCATTGGAGTTCAACCAGGTCTGTTGTGAGATAGTAACTCACTGAAGACAATGGTGGATGTGTGGCTCAATTTCGTGGATTAGTTGGAGTTAAACATTAACACCACTGGATGAGGCTCAGTGGCCTAGTGGTTAAGTGCTCACGCGCGAAACCAGTAGGTCCTGGGTTCGAATCTCACAGAGGGCGAGGTCGTGGATGTGCGCTGCTGAGGAGTCCCACAATAGGATATATTTGTATATGTTAAATGTTTATCCTATTATCATAGTCATTCTACTCATACGTTAGCTATAGAAGTCAATTTTCTTTGATCTCTACCAGTAAGTGATTTTTTTATTAGTGCATCTTAGAATAATTGAGGGAGCGGGAGGGGGGGTGGGAAAAGAATCGTGGTATTGATATTTTCATAGCTCAAAGCTAGAAATTACTAACATTCAATTTCAGGCATATCAATTTATCAAATATTTTTTCCGGTGCTTGTCCATCGCACACCTTTAAAGATTGATTCAAACTTGTTGCCAATAGGAATATTTTTTAATTTAAGAACTATAGTTCCATTTGTAAGCAACGAGGAATAGTGGCTAGCAGTCGAATTCAGGACGCGTGTTTCGCCCTATTTGGGACTCGTCAGACTGATCAATCACAGTCCTAAACATCAATAGTAAGATTCAAGTAAATAACACCAAGTGAATTTCAACTTCACTCCATTGCACTAGCAAGTGGCTATCAAGACTCAGTAGCTAAGTGGATAACGCGATGGCGTTTGAAGAGAATGGTACTGGGTTCGAGTCTCAGAGTGAACATCAACTCTGAGATGCAGGTACAACCAGCTGACGAGTCCCAAATAGGATGAAACGCGCGTCCTGGATTCCACTGCTAGCCATTATCCATCATTGCTTACAAATAGCTTGTGAATTAAGGCAATATCGAGGCATACGCACAGTATGCACGTATGCCAATAACAGACTGACCAATTGTAGTCTTAAGGCTCAATGGGAAGATACAAGCCAAACGACACCAAGTGAATATAGTTCCATTTATGAAAACATTAGTAGTTAACTTTGAGAAAATATAGGGGAACTTCAGGTAACCACATTTTGGTGAATTACTGGAAAAGTTCAAAGAAAGTGTAGATCTTAACTTACATTTTTCAAAATTTCGTTACTTGTGAGGTTAATTTTGTAATAATTTACTAGTTTCGTTCTTTTTTTTCTTTCTTCTTTTAATTTAGACACCACCTGGAACATCAATTGAAGGTGAAATAGCTGATAGATTTATTATAAATGGTGCACCAACGGATTATATTCGACGACGTAATAAAAATGGTTGTGGACATTCAAAAGAAATATGGGGTGGACATTGAAATGAAGTAGTAACTTAATCATGAATAGAAAATGTAGTGGACCAAAACTTCATATTTCATTCCTATTACAACTAATAGGATTATTACACAAAAACGTTTTTAATATCTTTTTATGTGACATATGACTTTGTATGTATAGTGTACTGTAGCATTGTAATGATGAGTATATTAGCTAATTAATAGTAAACACATTTATTTCTATGAGAATAGATATCTTTGAATGAATAAAACGTATGCAGTGAGATTCAATGTTATTGATATCAAAAGGGCTTTTTGGATATTATAGTAATTTTAATAGTTAAGATCATGAGTCGATTGAAGCTAGACTACCATGGGAAACGTGGATGCACTGAACGGCCGTTTCGTTCTACTGTGGGACTCATCAGCAATCCACATCCACGATCTCGCCTCGCGAGATTCGAACACAGGAGCTATAAGTCTTTAATCCACGAAATTGAGCGACACATCCACCATTGTCTTCAGCGAGTTACTATATTACGATATTATTCAACCATTGCCTCACTTCTAAAATTGAAGTTTATACAGATAGATCACTGTGATTTCTTACTAGAATTATAAATGGACAAATGAAAATAAGTGGATGAGTTGAAGTTAAAAATTAATACCGTTAGATACCGGCCGGCTCAGTGGTCTACTGGTTAAGCGCTCGCGCGCGAGACTGACAGATCTTAGGTTCCAATCTCGTGAGGCGGGATTGTGGATGTGCACTTTTGAGGAATTCCATAGTCGAACGAAGCAGCCGTTCAGTGCATCCAGGTTTTCCATGTTGGTCTAGCTCATGATTTCAACTAATAAAATTCAGTGTTCTTAATTAATTCCAATACTTTTATTTCTTATCGAAAATTAAATAAACTCAGGTAATTCTTCTGAATGTTTGTTTAACTTATCGTGTGTAAATCCTGTTTTGCATGATTAAAACTAGTAATCGGACACACTGAAGTTTAATAAGAGTGAACCTGATCTCTGTACCATATCCAAGAAATCCAAGTCTGTTAGGTATTTGTAGATGGTCGACAGGATATCGTACTATATGACACTTTTCAATAAGGCGTAGTTGGAATTTTGATGGAGATGGTGTGTCCTAGTGAGATTTGAACTAGAATCACCAGGTTTCATAGTTTGATACTTTATCATTGAGTTTTTTCGGACTTCAGAGTGTGTGAGTGACTTTCGTCAAAGATTGATATCAATTGGTAAATAATGAAAAAACAAAAGAGAACTGAACATTTGGTTGTCACATACTATTTCGAAACTCCTATATAGTTAGCACTTACGATTCTACTCGTTATCTTGAATTCAGTCATAATTACTTTCACATTATGTTTTTTTGAATTCTGGGGCTGGTAAAGGTAGGAGATCATCATTCTGAGAAATTATATCAATAGTTTCAAAAAGTGGTATATTGGTGAACAAGGATGTAACATCAAAAGAGACCATGAACTTGTCGTTAACATTCGTATGATTTAGTCTGTTAGCAAACTGGGATGAATCTCTCAACGTATATGTTGCTAATCTACGACGAATCGGTTCTAGTTTTTCTGTTAACCAGCGTGCAACTTTATGATATGGTGAGTTGATCATTGACAGGATAGGTCTAAGAGGAACGTCATGTTTGTGAACTTTTGTTAAACCATACATATGAGGCAGACGTGAACCACGTGGTTTTAGATCATTGTAAGTAGAATTATCAATCATTTTCTTTTTTAGGAGTTCTCTAAGCATGCCTGTGATTCGTTTTTCTGTTGAATCAGTCAAATCTTTTTGGGATTTATCTACTTTGAACCTCAGTTGGTCGTCGAGGATTGACTTCATCTTAGTGACATAATCAGCTGTATTCATTAGGACAACACCTGAACCTTTATCCGGTTGTAAAATCATCACCTCATTATTTTGTTTGATGTTTCTGAGGGTTATTAGATGTTCTTTGGATAGAATATTCGACTTTGGTGTCGATGACACGAAGTATTGGTTGGCAATATCAACTAACTTTGATTTGAACCATCCTTTCTTTTCCTCATTCATTGGCTGCAAATCTTTTAACTGGTCAAACAGATTTTCGAATTGAGCTTCTGTATCAATCCTGTCAGTGTTTGGTTTTGGTATATGAAATTTGAGTCCCAGTGATAAAGCTTCTGTTTCTATACTATTAAGCTTCGTGTTTGATAAGTTATAGATAAACTTCGAAGGGTTTTCCGGAAACCCTAAACATAGTTGTTCTTTTATCAGAGTTTTCGATAGAGATTTATGGAAATCCTTTCAAACCTTGATTTGAAGATTACGAATAAAGTTCATGAATTTTATTCGACATACGATGTTTAGATCATTAACGGCTTTACCGAAAGCACCGGCCTCAATCCTTAGTCGTGTAATGAGTAATTTTGTCGATTCAATGTGAGATTTAGTAATGCGTCTTAGGTTTTTAAGAGATGGTGGAAGTTTACATGAACGTAAGGATTTTACAAACTGACGTGGGAAACAGCCCGACGTGAGACATTCACCATAAAACTTGATCCTTGTCACTTCTCTTGATATTCTGCAACGTATTATCACAAGGTGATTCAGTGACTTAAATAACTGTTCAGGGAGGCGTTTTTTGAGAAATTTCATACACATAGTTCCCTTTATCATTTTGAAAAGAGAAAGAACAAAGATTCTAGCAGAATAGCATGAATTCATTTTAGTTCGTAGGTTCTCGTCAGCTGCTTACAACCTGTGATATTTAAAATTCATAATTACATAATGGGTTTAAATTGCTAACTGAGTATTGTAAATATATACCTAATGTGAAAGAATATTCTACAACATTAATTGTGACAACAGTTCAAAAGTGGGTTAGAAACAATCGATTATATAATGAATAACATTGAAGGAATGTAGTGAGTAGAGTTCAGTTGAAAGACCGTGTGTGACCGACCTCAAGCAGTTGTCCCTTGGGCATTGCGGTCACGCTCTCAGGTCACCAAGACCAACTCTAACCCAATTTCCTTTTCAGGTACCTCCAGAAGAACCCTTCCATGGTGTGGGCAACAGGGAAGTGATAACCGCCCTCATAACTCTAACAGCACTCAAGACCACTAGATTCATAATCAATCTCCCTCTTTAATTCCTGTTATTCCTCCTACATCGACTTTCAACGCTAAACTTCCTCTTTCGGCTTCCCTCTCAAGTGTCACCATATCCAACGATTCTAGTGTGCAAAACGCTCCCAGGTCTACTGAAACCTCGCTCCAAACTACACATTGGAGCCTTCAACGTACGCACACTATGTCAAATCGGTCAGCAGACTTCTTTGGCTAGAACCCTAAAATCTCGTACCATTGATGTATGATGTATCTCTGAAACACGCATACAGGATCCTAGTGTGGTCATTCACTTGACCTCACCTCGCTAAAACGGAAAGCCAAAGAGATACACCCTCCGTGTATCTATTGAACCAATGGCCAGTTCTCGTGGACTGGCAGGAGTAGGGATAGCACTAAGCATGAGGGCTAAACAAGCACTTTTAGAGTGGATCCCCGTCAACAGTCGTCTATGTGCTGTCCGGCTAAACGGCTCCGTAAGAACTCGGAAGGATAGGGACACACGTCGTTGCCTTTTTGTCGTTTCTGCCTACGCTCCCACCGACTGCAGCTCAGATGAAATGAAAGATGAATTTTACAGAAAGCTATCTGAACTTCTCCAGAAAGCTAAACGTTCAGACATCGTACTCGTAGCAGGTGACTTTAATGCCCAGATAAGTAGTCTAAACCAAACAGAAAGGCATTTAGGTGAATATTTAAGTATTACGCACAACGAACAGATAATGGTGATCGTCTGCTGCAAATGTACTCAGACAATCGTTTATTTTTAGCAAACAGAAATTTTAAGCATAAGGAAAGACATCGTCTAACATGGCGACCCCCTACACCAAACCAACGATGGACTCAAATAGACCATATTGCCATCAGTCATCGTTGGAGAGGGTCGGTAGAAGATTGTCGCTCATTCTGGAGTACCTGCTTGGACTCCGACCATGCCTTAATACGGGCACGCATCTGCTTGCGCCTCACTGGACGCAAAAAAGCCACATTGAAAAGACCCATTAGAACTGAGTTGAGTAACGAGAAAACCAAAAGTAAGTTCCAGGAACAACTGAGGTCACACTTAGGTAGTTCTGAAGACGAGGTTGACATATATGTTGCTTGGAAAGATATACAAACAGCTGTGGAAACAGCAGTGACATCTATCAGTGATTTAAACCACAGGGTTACAAAGAACCAATGGCTTTCTTCAAGGTCTATTGCACTGATGGATTCTCGTAAACTCATCCCATCAGGCTCTGAACACGATGAAGAGCAAAAACAAGACAGATATAGATTAAACAAAAGTCTGCAGAACGACCATGAACAGTGGTGGGCAGCGAAAGCAAAAGAGATGGAAAAGGCAGTGGCTATAGGGAACACAAGACAGCTCTACAGACTAATAAAAGAAACTGGTATTAATAAGTTAAGAGTAAGTCAGACTATTTCGGAAAAAGACGACACCCTCATTTGCTCTCAGTCAAGACGTTTAGAACGATGGGCGGAACATATTAGAGAACAAATAAAATTAATATATTTGTAATATCCCAATGAGTAGAAAATTGGATTTTCTGACGTTTCGTGACTTAGTGTAAGTCATAAAATCCAATTTTCTACTTATTGGGATATTACAAATATATTATTTTTATTTATAACAATGAACCCAATGCTCAATTTATTCGAAATTATCAAATCAAACCTTGGTAATGACACCTATATTAGAGAACAGTTCAACTGGCCTTCAACTATTCTACAACTACCCTCCATTCCCAGACAGTGTAAATGGAACATTGAAGTAGATCTCCCAACTCTTGTTGAAGTTCAAAAGACTACAGGGAGGAAGAGCAGTTGGTTCAGATGGATTGGCTCCAGAGGTCTTTAAGGATGGTGGTCCAATTTTAGCGATTAGGTTGACTAATA